AGCTCAGCCTCCTCCGCTGGCTGCGGGAGAGCCGGCAGTCCAGGAAACTCATCCTGCTCATCGTGTTCATCGCCCTGCTCCTGGACAACATGCTGCTTACGGTAGTCGGTAGGTAGAATGGTTTTTAGTTGGTTGTTCGGGGTTTCCCCCCCCACCCCTGCCCGCTCCCGATTTGTACCAGAAATAATCTCCAGTGACAGATGTACTCCCTGACTGCATGATTAATGCTCTCAAACCAAACATTTTCAAGCACTGATTTTTTTTTTTTTTTTTTTTTAAACTCGAACGATAGTCTAGGTCTTCCAAACACACTGCCATACCCATCAAAGCCTCACTTTATTTCTATATTAATTGCAGGATAAGGAATGATGTAAAAAGGTCTTTGTAATTCCTTTTTTCTACTAAACGCTACTAATACTCCACAGAATGACAGATAACAGTATTTTTAGCTCATCATCTTTTTTCCTTTGTGGTCATGCAACTGAAACGACAGGCTAGATAACATTGGAGATGCCTGTTTCCTTGCGATAGTTCCTCTTCCCCCCCCCATTGGTCTTAAAATGATAGGTTAGTAAGAAAACTATCTAACTGGGTTTTAGGAAAAGCATTTCTATGAGTTGGTTTAATGAAATAATCCAAGTTTTGATCAAAGTCGAAGACGCAACTTTTACTGGCTTCAGTGGCGTAGTGACAAGATTTAGGAGTCTACTCAAATAAAACACTTGAACTTTTTTCACCGGTAGTTTTAGAAGTCCTCATATTCAAATGTTTATATGAGCTTAAAGAAAAGGGTTCAGAGAAACTAGTGGTTCATGGATGCGCACTCAGACATGAAGGCACATGCTTCTCTCCGAAGTGAATCGGGCTGTCCAGAGCCGGCTCTCGGACGATGCTGCAGTGTCACCTTCTGAATCAGGCTCCAGAATTTCCTGGGGGACTTCAGCTTAAAAGCTGATGCCACAATATAGACCTTAGCTAAAAACATATAGTTTTAGCAAGTCAATTTTGGATTTTTTTTTTACATGAACATACTTTCTTATAAAGTTATTAACATTTAATTTCTTATTCAGTAATATGTATACTAGAAGCCCTAGAAATTATTGTAGTTTGCAGACTTATTGAAAGAGTGGGCTTTTTCAGGAAAGGATGCAAGGCAAGGAGGGGTGATTCTGTCACTAGTGTGACAATTTATTGAATTTATTGAATTTTTTGAATTTTGAATTTATTGACAATTTATTCAATTTATTGAATGAACCTGACATCCATTTTTACAAATTCTGAAATGCTAATTTAATGCCACTAAATTGCAGCTAAGATCCTAAAGCATATAAAGAAGGTCCCTTCTGGATGATCTTTTCAATGTAAATTTTTAAAAAATAATGAGATATGCAAACATCAACACATCAGTTCTGATTACTTAATATAGGAGTGTTATGGTTTTTTCCTTCTATGGCTGTTACTTATCAATATTTTTGTGGTTTATTTTAGAAATGTTGTTTATTACATTTTTTATATTTTGGTTTAGTAATAGTCTCAATGCTTTTCCCATCTTTCATGTTTTCACAATCTAATAAATGTATTTGTCCAGTCATGTGCAACAAAGAGACTCTTCAGACATGGGTTTTGATACTTCTTACATTTTGCTTTCTGAATGATGTCTGTATAGAAAATCTTATATTTATGAAAACTGGCAAAAAATAAAGACTAATGCAAAAGAACTTTTTGTTTTAAACTGCACTTCCAAGTTATGGGTGTATTTTTTCTGAGCAAACTTCTGTTTCAGTTCTGTATTTCCACCGTTCAAATGTGCTCTGTAGGAAAGCCTTGTATTTCCTAATAAATGGCAAAGCGAACAAGAAAATTTGGTGATTCCATTTACAAATAACCTGATAGTAAGATGCCAATATATTCTATTTGTTTTTCCAGTGCCAATAATTCCCAGTTACCTTTACAGCATCAAACATGAGAAAAATGCCACAGAAATCCAGACTACTAAGCCTAAAGTAGTCACAACAGCGATGGACAATTTTCAGAGCATCTTCTCCTACTACGACAACTCAACGATGGTTACTGGAAACGAATCTGATAAGACACGACCCAGAGAGTTGCATCATACTCAGACAGAACAAATGATAGTAAATGTGACTCCTTCCCCGTCTGACTGCCCTAAGGAAGATAAGGACCTGCTGAATGAAAATGTTCAAGTCGGTCTCTTGTTTGCTTCAAAAGCAACAGTGCAGCTAATCACTAACCCCTTCATAGGGCCGCTGACAAACAGGTATGTTATTTCCACTACATTACTCAGTTAGGATTTTATACCAATGTTTTAGTCTGGACTAGTATTTCAAACAAAGTATTTTTAATTCTATTGTGGTCCTGGCTTACTGGCCTTCTCACTTTACCTGGAGGAATATTTTAGTGAAATACGTTTGGTGAACACTTCTAAACACCCACATCCTTTCCAAAATAAATTGGTAAACTGCACATGAGCCATCTGATGTGTTCAGTACCGTACACTTTTCCTCCAGCTCCTGAGACCTCAGGTTTTTATAGGAAATTTGCTGAAATGGTGTTGAAACATCTTCAATACAGTTACATGGGGCCAAAAGACACTACAATGTAGTATTTATGAAGCCCTGTGAATTGATGATACATCTGTTACACCTACCTTAGGCAAATGTGATACTGAAACCACAGGCAGGGTTCAGATCCCTCTCTTGCTCTCACAGAGATGCACAGCTCTTGGTGCGGTTTGGTATTCAATGATTTGCAGTCATCTGAGGTAAGAATCAGTGGGAAACTCATGTGGACTTCTCTGAAAAATGAACAAATGTCAAATTTTGCTGATGCCACATTCATCACCAAGTTCAGTGGATCACAGGTTTCCATCAGTACATGATCTAGCCCAGCCTTCAGATTGTTCTCTCTAAATTCTGGCATATATATCATGTCTTGAACAAAATATGTTTAAATGGTACTTTAGAGAAAATCTATTTGAGCCAGGATCAAGGGTATAAGCACCGATATCAATGACTTACAAC